CTAATTAATGTCATATTTCTGTTAACCATTTTGATATTTTACCATTTTAATTCTTGCTTTTCTAAACTTACTTTTTGAGTAATTTTCTTATTTTAGGGATTACAATATACATGTTAACTGAACACAATCCACTGAAAGTTAATACTGACTTAATTTCAATAAAATATAGCAACTTTGTTCCAATAACTACCCTCTTCCTTTATGTTATTATCATATATATTACATTCATATTTTTATATGTAATAAATAGCAATAAAGCATAACAGATTTTGCTTTATATATACTTCTGATTTTTAAAGAAATTAAGAGAAGAAATAAAAAATATACAGACTATTGCAGGAGTATAAGCTTATTTTTTTTAAAGTCACTCTCCCAGTTTGGTAAGGCAGGTAAGTAGTTATCCTGGAGGAAATTAGCTCATCACAGCAAGCTAAGGTTCACAACAAAGTATCAAGCCTGAAGAAGGGCAAGAAAGGAATAGAAAAACAAGACAAATAGGGCATTAAATAAGCCGTAGAGCCATCAGTGTATTTCCTGTCTCAAAAAGAATTTGCTAAAGGATCTCAGATTGAATCTACACGTAGCGAACTTCAGTAGGCCTGGATACGAGAAGGTGGAGAAGGGATTTTTTGGAAAGACCACATAGTTAAACTTCATTTAGTAAATTATAAAAACATAGAGTATATATTAAGCTGGAATAGATTTTTCATATGATTTTGTGTAGTAGCTTTAAACATTTATTTATGCTCTTCAAGTCCTTTCTACATACAGTGTCTAAACAAAGATTTGCTTTGTAAAAGTATAATAAGGCCAGTATGAGATTAGAGCTAAGTGGTCTGAAGGTCCAGGATCTTCCCACGTGTGATGAAAACCTCTTCATCAGCATGTGAGGTTTCCATTAGCCTTCTTGAAACAAAATTTGAAAATTAGTGATTTCAAGCAAATGTTTTACCCAATAGATGCAGAAACCTCTTACCCAGGCAGTTTTTCCAAAAGTAGCATTGCTAGTTAATGGAAGATCTAGAAATGTAATTCTAAAAGTCAGTGTATTCAATGTTTTCCTATATACTGTACCAACCATTAAACACAACACAAAATACTGACCAATAGGCCCTTTTTGATATTTAAAATATGAAATGCATATTGAGGACAGTGGAATGTCAGTGTTGCTGGCAGAATTTAGTATAAGTGTAAAGGTAATAAATATTGCTAACAAAAACCATTTAGACACTACTTTGGCAAGCTACAATAAAGAAATTTAGAAATATTTCTTGCACTTTTCTTTCAGATCTCATTTTACTACTAATGGTATTACAGAATGAAAATTATCAAAATTACCTTACGTGATTCTATAACGCCTGAGTATATCAAGATATACAGGAGAAGGGTCTTGGCCATAGGCAATTCATTATCTTCCTGGGATGTAAGAATCGACAAGACGGAATAATTCCCACTGTCTGTCTATCTTCGTGCCTGCTCATACATGTGATGTAACCAGGTATGCTTTTAATTATTTTATGACACAATTTTGTAAAAAAAGGAAATATTAACATTATGTACCATATGATTTCACTTATATGTAGAATCTAGAAAACAAGACAAAGAAATAAACAAGGCAGAAATAGACCAGTAAGTACAGAGAACAAACTGGGGGCTGCTGGAAGGAAAAGGAAGTGAAGATCAAGCAAATGGGCAATGGGGGGTGGGAGAAACAAGCTTCCAGTTATGCAATGAGTAGGTTATAGGGGTGAAAATTACAGTACAAGGAATATAGTCAATGGTATTGTAACAGCATTGCACGGTGACAGATGGTAGCTACGCTTGCGGTGAGCATAGCATAATACATAGATTTGTCTAATCACCGTGTTGTACACCTGAAACTAATGTAACATTGTGTGTCAACTATACTTCAATTAGAAAAAAGATATTGATCCTCCTTCATTATTGAGAGAACTGATAAGCTTGAATATAAACTAAAAAATAAATACCATTCCAGCACATAGCTGGTTGGCCTTGGGGTAAAAAAGAGCATTCAGAGAAAAATGAAGTGATTAAATGTTACTAATTAGAGGGATAGCAGCAATAAAGAGAAATTTGAAAAACTCCTTGTCCTGGCTCTATCATTATTTCTGGTTCTTAAAGAATCGTTTCTAAATTATGTTTTAAGTATATAAAGGTAGTATATGGAAAATTATTTTTAATATCAGCAATAAAAAGTGCATGCAAATAAAATACTTTGTTAATATGATCTTATAAAAACCAATCCAATCAGTCAATCAATCCATTCCTTGGTAGAAAGAATATATTGGCAGTATGGGAAAGAGCAATGCTTTTCTAAAATCTATATCATCTCCAGAGACGTGCATAACTTTTTAAAGTACTTACATAAATAATAATTGATATAAATGATGATTATTCTATAATAGTACTAAAGGAGGCTTTAAATCATGATCTGTTGTGATAAAATATTGGTCCAATCTGTTCCTGTATATTTGCTAGAAACATATTGATTATAAAATTATAAAAGAGATAACATGCTTTGACATTTTCTATAATTCCAGCACAATTTTACATTTTAAGAATTAAAGTGAGTATTTTAGCAATGAACAATTGTCTTTGAAATACTCATTTAAAAAATCAAATGGATAAACCATAGATTTTTGGATTCTGCTTTCAGACTTGTGACTAAATTAGATCTAACAGAGAAGTTATGATATTCTAACAAAGGAGAAGAGGCCCTTAGGGTTTATTTGTTCACATTCTTCTTTTCCCAAATGAAGTAAATACTGGCACAGTTTGTCACTTTACCATAAGATTCTTTTGAAATGGGACATATAAGCTATTCTTTGAAAATACACAAAGGAAATTGAAAGTAAAAGCAAAGGACTTTTCTAAATGTTCTTGCAGGGTTCCTGCTGGTAGAGAAATGATTTTCATAATATGCATGAAGTTTATATTTCTCCTAGGGATATTCTGCATTGGAGAGAGTAAAAGAAATCACATCAGTGAAAAATTACAAAATAAAAACTATTTGGAAACATCCAGGAGAAATGACAATAGCTTTAAATTCTACCAAAATTAAAGTTTAAGGATTTTGTTTTCCTTCCTTCCTTCCTTCCTTTTTTCCTTCCTTCCTTCCTTCCTTTTATTTTATTTTAAAATTTGTACAAGAAAATCAAAATAGCATACAGGATGAACTACAAGCAACTCTATTTAAAAATGTAAGGGTTAAAAGAAAAATAAACTACCATTTATTATCAACCTGAGCAGGAGACATATCACAGTTAAGGAAATGTCACAATTTTTCATGTAAAAATAACAAAGAAAGATAACATCTTATGGATTTAATTGTAAAAGTCAATTAAGTATAAAATTAGATTATGACAGGCACACACAGTACTATCATTAAAGTATATATAATAATTACATAAGTATGACTAATCACTGATTGCTATTGGTCTTAGAAAGATTAGAAATGCCACTTGGAAATCTAAGCAAGAGATGTATAAATGCATAACTAAGAGAAATTTGTTGGAAATCAAACTGTCCTATGGACTTATATAATTATGTCAGAAATAATTATCTGGTTCCTACAATTTTTTTCTGTGAGTTTCTGTTCTTTAGACACATAATAATACCAATTATTGTTACTAGATTGATAGTTAAAATAAATTCATAAATTAGATTAATTATATATACTTATTTCAAAGAGAGCAACTTCCTTTTTTATGTACTCATTTTTAAATTTCTTCAAAATGTAAAATTTCTTCAAAAATTTTTGGAATAAAAACCATTCAAAAGCAACAAGTTCCCTGATCATTTTAGATAAATAAGTAAAAGGTCTTTCTCTTTTGACCTTCCATAACAATTTATCTGTATCTTCCTGGTGGTTCTTAATAGTATCTTATTCAATTTATATATATATATATGATATATATACATATTTAAGTTTATTTAATTTAAGAGAGAAAGAGAGCACATGCACAGAGGTGCAGAGAGAGAGAGAAAGAAAGAAAGAATCCTAAGAAGTCTTCACGCTATGAGCACAGAGCCCAAAGCAGGGCTTGATCTCATGAACTGTAAGATCACATGAGCCGAAAGCAAAACAGATGCACTGACTGAGTCACCCAGGTGCCCTTGAATTATATATTTTTTAACATGTCTTATCTCTTCAAACATACTGTATGAACTAATTTAAGACAGAAACCATGTTTTTTTTTAAATCATTTCTCCCATATTAGTACATATCCCAAAGAAAAGAAATGCCTAAAAAATACTTGTGATTGAATGCATTCTAATTTATTGGATCTGAAGTTGTGTTTTTTTTAATATTGTCATGTTTTGGACCTTCATGAAAAAATAAAATACATTATTTGGGGTGCCTGGGTGACTTAGTCGGCTGAGCATTAGACTCTTAATCTCAGATCAGGTCGTAATCTCAGGGTCCTGAGTTCAAGCCCCCTGTCAGACTCCATGCTGAGTGTGAAGCCTACTTTTAAAAAAATAAAAATAAAAAAATAATTTTATGAAATAAAATACATTATAAAATAGATTGTCCAACTTTATCAATGTATAGAAAAAGCCACTCTCCCCCTGTTCCTAATTCCAGGAAAGGTAGAAAGAAAAGGAAAAAAATTATGAAATTTGATATTTCAGAGGAACCCAAGGAAATTTATCTCAGCAGATGAAATAAGCAAATAAATTAATTTCATAAAAGTCATGAAAGGTAATTTGGTAAATGTATGTCTTCTCTATCTTTAATGGCTTTTCATCTTATAGGAATAACATGTAGATTTATGTTTTACACGGTAATTTTAAAAATTTAAGATACAATAATTCCTAAATATTAGTCACAGTTTGGCTCATAGATACAGAATAGTACCTTGTTTTAATGATTCATAATCCAAAACCTGAATGGTTTTATGTTATTATACAAATTCTCACTTGGCACGTTGCATTTCTTGAAACTACAAACTGAATCATACTATTTAATGGGTAACTTTCTCCAACTTTGAATATTTCTGAAGTCTAGAGCGATATTTGGGTAAATACAGAACCAAATTAAAGCATTTATTCCTGAAGTCTTGGTCACATTTTAATAAATGATAGCCGCAAGGAGATTCTGCACTGAAAATTCAGCAGTATTGACTCTTTCCGTCCACACTGGTGCATGTTCCCCGGTGGAAATTACAGTAGCGAAAGAAAATACACAGAGATGAAATATTCTCCCATATGCTCAGGAAACTCCAGAAGATGCTGTACTAGGCACTGCCGTGTGTCTTGCAGATCCACTCATTCACTCTCTGTGGTTAATGTTGCTTGCTCAGGTCACAGACATCCCTCTTCTCTGAGATGACACTCTTGGCTTATGAGATCGCCTTTCCACAGAAGGTTATTTTCCCTTCCTTTCCTTGGGTATAGCCCACAGCAAAGACTGACAAGGTATTATAAAAGACTGGCACCCTATGGGGTGATTTATGTGCATCAGGCCAAGTCTAGACTTTGCCTGAATCACATTCTTGCTGGGCTCTCTCCAGTTCTCTACTATGCTTCCCCTTCTCTGTCCAGAGGAAGGGAAAAAAACAAAACAAAAAACCCTAACCAATTTAAGTCTATGTCAATCTCTGTTTCTGGGGAATCTGACCTAAGAGAGCTATTATCAGAAGTAGTAGACATTCCATATTTGTCAGGTTCTCTAATTCCTTGTAGGCTATTTCATCCTAGATTTGGGCCTGTAATTCCCTTTGGACAGTGCTTTTTTTTTTTTTTTTCTTTTTTCTTTTTTTTATTTCTAGGAGAGAGAGAGAGAGACAGCATGAGCAGGGGAGGGTCAGAGAGAGAAGGAGTCACAGACTGAAACAGGCTCCACGCTCTGACCTGGCAGTCAGCACAGAGCCCGACGCGGGGCTTGAACCCAGGAACCGCGAGATCATGACCTAAGCGAAAGTCGGACGCTTAAACGACTAAGCCACCCAGGCGCCCCGGACAGTGCTGACTTTTGACTCTAAATTGTCAGCTTGGAGAAAAGGGTTCATATGGTAAGAAGGGGCTATTCCTGGTGAAAAAAAGAACTCAAGATAATTTCAGGGTTCAAGATTCTGAGATTTGTCATCCTAAATGTATCCATCTCAGATTGTGGGTCCTATTTCTCTCCCATTATGGCTCTGATTTGGCACAAAAGATCTGCAAGGTCAGCACATTTTAGTCTTCTTTGCAGATCTGTCACCCTTATAATCAGACCATCACCCAGATTTTCAGTAAAGTCTGCCAGAAGCTGTCAAAAATAAGAGGTTGTCTAAGGCTTCCAGAAGGCATCTGACTTTCAGGAACTGTCCTGGGATGGAAATGGACTCTCCCAAGCCTAGCGTTCTCTTGTCCTAATTTCTTGATTAGACCAAAGGTGTTCATCTTATTTTACAATTCTTATAATTGTCCCCATGTTAATGAAGTGCCACAACCATTTGATCTCCCTCTACTTGCCTTCCATTTGCACTTACTCTCAGTGAAACAGAGGTGAAAGTTAAAGTAATGGTGGTGCAGCTGTTTTCCAAGAGCTATAGTCCCTCCTTACCTCCCACAATGGATGATTTCAGGTAGGGGAGCAATCCAACTCCCAAACCTCATCTTGAAGGTTTGTTTTCTAGAACCATTCTACATAATAATTGTATTAAGCCTTGTTTTCTGAGTTAAAAACAGAACTTGAGGCGAGAATTAAAATTCTGGGGGCACCTGGGTGGCTCAGTCGGTGAAGTGCCTGACTTCAGCTCAGGTCATGATCTCGTGGTTCATGGGTTCGAGCCCCGTGTCAGGCTCTGTGCTGACAGCTAGCTCAGAGCCTGGAGCCTGTTTCAGATTCTGTGTCTCCCTATCTCTCTAACCCTCCCCTGCTCATGCTGTCTCTATCTGTCTCTCAAAAATAAATACAACATTAAAAAAATAACAAAAAAATAAAATAAAATTCTGATACTCAATTTGGGAGGTGCAGGTCTGAAAAAAAAAACCATAGAATAAAACAAAGTGAAACAATAAACAAAGTGAAACAAAGTAATGCAATGTTTGACTACCACATAACCATCAGCCCTGTGACCACCACCATTAAGAGAGATGCCTACATACAGTCACTAACAAGATGAGTCCTCTAGGGCTGCCTGGGTGACTCAGTCGGTTAAGCATCAGGCTTGGGCTCAGGTCATGATCTCATGGTTCTTGAGTTCAAGCCTCACGTCGGGCTCTCTGCTGACAGCTCAGAGCCTGGAGCCTGCTTCAAATTCTGTGTCTCCTTCTCTATGGCCCTCCCCCATTCACTTTGGTGTGCTCACTCTCTCTCTCTTTCTCTCTCTCTCTAACAAAAACATTAAAAAATTAAAATAATTTTTTTTAAAGATGAGTTATCTCCACACCTAAGTCATCCCTAGAAAGATATCCTGTAGGATCCAAGAGTACTACTCTCTAAGTGTCTTTCTGCCAAAGAGAAAAGATCTGCAGAATATATCTGCTCACCTCCCTCTTATTTCCCATTGTCCAAGTTTCACTCAAGGGTGGTTCAAACTGCTCTGCATTGGCCACACCATTGGCCACACCATCTGTCTTCTTCAGTGGCAGCTCCAGCAGCTCAATCAGAGACCTCACAGAGCAGAGAGAGAAAGCTATTAGTATGTCATTTGGCTCAAAACTTTTATTCACAAAGATTTTGATACGTTGACTTTTGATAGTATCTTCACAGTTACAGTGAATAAATATTTATTATATTTTTGTAAAATGTGCATATTAAAATGATCATTTATTTTTTAATTTTTTTTTTTTACTATTTATTTTTTATTTTTTTTTTTGAGAGAGAGAGACAGAGTGTGAGTGGGGGAGGAGCAGAGAGAGAGGGAGACAGAATCCCAAGTAGTCTCGAAGCTCTGAGCTGTCAGCACAGAACCCCATGTGGGGCCCAAACTCACAAACCATGAGATCACGACCTGGGCGCTTAACCAACTGAGGCACCCAAGCGCCCCTGAAAGTGATCATTTATTAAATGCAAACATTTACATATGCTGTATATTATGAACTGAACTGTGTTCCCCCCTGAATCATAACCTGAAGCCCTCACCTCCAATGTGACTGTATTTGGAGACAGGGTCTCTGAAGAGGAAATTAAGGTTAAAGTGGGTCACAGGGTAGAGCCCTAATGCAATATGATTGGTGTCCCTATAAGAAAAGGGAGAGATACCAGGGTTGTACACAACAGAGAAAAAGCCATATGAGGAAAGAGTGAAAAGACAGCCATCCACAAGCTAAGGGCAGGCCTTAGGAGAAACCAAGTCTGCTGGCACCTTGATCCTGGACTTTTAACCTCCAGCATTGTGGAAAAATAATTTGTATTGTTTAAGCCACCCATCCTGTGGTATTTTGTTGTGGGTGTCCTAGCAAACTAATACATTGCATAACACGTATGGTCTTCTGTTTTGGCTTTTCTCCACTGTCTTTTATTCATCTTCAGAGATTTTTAATTTTTAAAAAAATTTTTTAATGTTTATTTTTTATTGAGAAATAAGGAGACAGACCATGAGCCAAGGAGGGGCAAAGAGACAGGGAGACACAGAATCCGAAGCAGGCTGCAGGCTCTGAGGTGTTAGCACAGAGCCCCAAACAGAGCTAGACCCCATGAGCCATGAGATCATGACCTGAGCCGAGGCTGGACCTTCAACTAATTGAGTCACCCAGGCTCCCCTTTGGAAACCTTTTTAGAAATGGTTGTCACCCACCCACCTACATTTACTTTATTGTTGCTAAATATTCTCCATGGCATTAAGGAACCAAAAGATTAACAGATTCATTTTAGAAAAATTGGCAAATTTGTCAGTTTACTTATGTATAGTACCTGTGCATTTTGTTTATCTTACAAACTTGGACTCTGAAGTATTTAGGCCATGAAGATTAATTAGAAATGTTTCCTGACATCAAGGAAAATATTGTCTAATGGCAAATCTCCCAGCATAGAGATAAAATCAACAATTAAGTCTTACAGAATGCTAAAACATTAAAGATAGATGACAGAGCTAAGAACTTCATACCTAAACATGTCTTCTTCTTAATTTTTTATATTAAGAATGAGATACAGTATAAGGGCACCTGGGTGGCTCAGTCCGTTAAGCATCTGACTTCAGCTCCGGTCATGATCTCATGTTTGTGAGTTTGAGCCTTGCGTTGGACACTGCTGACAGCTCAGAGTCTGGAGCTGCTTCAGACTGCCCCACCCATGCTTGTGCTCTGTCTTTCAATAATGAATAAATGTTAAAAAATATTCTTAAAAAAGAATGAGATACAATATAATATTTAAAGATTTAAAATAATGACACATAATTACATCATAAAAACCTCCTTCTATTTTTGCATTTTACCTCCAAGACTTAGAACGAATATATATTTAATTATTTGTTATCAGTGAATGATTGTTATTTTGTATTCAGTTTCTTCATGTCATATTATAAAGGTTTTCATCATTTCTGAGAATTATATTAATCATATTTATTGGTTTTATATTGTTTCTTTATGTTGGTTTGCCATGATTTAATTTATATTTTTTATTGCTACTAAAGTAATATATGTTTACCATAACTGTTTCTTCTTTTGGGAAATGCACTTTGTCCACTTATCTCTTTGTAACATGGATTTCTTATAAATGTCATTGAATCATTTAAATTGTCTAGGACTAATTCACTTACTTAAATATTTGACATAATGTTACCCAAATGCTATTATTCTTTCAAAAAGCATCCAGGAATTTCTCTTACAAATGTTGGAGGTTTTTGTAACATTGTTTAAAACTTATTCTGTAAAATATGGCCTTAGTATAAAATTTCAATGTCAGTCTTTGTGACTGTGCTATAGCTTCAATAAAATTATATTATAATAACAATACATTTATTTTTTTTCTTAATTTGATCAGCAATCTAACACTGAATTATTAAGCATGTGTTTCCAACTTTTATTATTATTATTATCATTTTTTCTGTAAACTTAGGATCCAACTTATTCTTTAACTTGCTTTTGATTAAAAACCAAAGGAATAAATTAAGATACACATATATAATAGTCACTAAAAAGAAAAAATAGATCTAACTATGCTGCTGTAAAAAGATTCCCAACAATATGAGTAACATAGCAATATATAAATTAGTATAATATGATATTTTATTTTAAAAAGTTAAAACATTGATGCATATTGATCTTATGAATCATTCACAAGAAATAACTAACATTATTCATCTGTGGGAAGGGAAGTTGATTCAGGAAGATAGCTGGTTAGCAAGCAGAACTTTATTTTCCATCTTACAGACTTCTTAGGGAACAAAAATTACATGGTGACTCTGATTAGAATTTTCTGAAATCAGTAAATAAACTAAAGATAACAGAGATTTTTACCATAACCAGTAGTTCAATTTCAGACTAGAGACATCTATTCCCCATTTATTCTATTCTCATTGTGACTCCATATAATTTGTAATGTTCTTTAACCCATGAGTATAGGTTTTATAGATGGTAAATACAGAATAAAATCTAATTTCTGTAATACTCCAAAATATAAGAATTTGGAGCATACAATCTTTGAACTTGGGGGTTCCTCAAATGGTCTACACATTAATTCAGAAAATCTGATGTATGCTCAGAAAGATTCCTCTTATTATATTTTTCAACCCCTGTGCTGCCCTACTTTTACCTCTGGGCTGAGCCTTTCCTAACAACAACAAAGTTGATTCACAAGTGTTTTCATGTGTCTCTCCCAAAGTTGCCATTCCTATAGCGACAAGAGTAGTGTTAGACACCATACCATAGTGAGGAAAATTGATCTGTCCCCATTATGTACTGTCACCTAAGACCAGAAGCAACACTATTCATGAAAATTTCACAGAATTGCTTGAAGGAAAAATACAGGCATTTCTCATTTCTGACATCTTGTAAGTAGCGGCTCACACCAAACTGCCCATACCTCTGAATCAGCAAGCGATGGTTTCTAGCTCCAGGACAACCTCAGTCCATACCTCCAGAAAAGTACTGCCAATTACATGGTCCTCATTTCCATTTTATCCTTTGGGGTAGTTTGCCACCTGGAACCTTTGCTTCTTGTTGAAATAATTAAAGGCTTCTCTCTGGTGGTTTTTCCAGAACAAGGCAATTTTCCATATAATGTATATAAGCCTCACATATAGGGAAGCGGCTTTATCATTAAGATTTTCCAATTCGGATTTTCCAACTTAGATTTTTCCCCCCAGCCAAAATTTAACTAAGATCAGCAGGTCCAGGCACTCAGAATGTGCCCCATTCAATCAGGTTCTGAAGAAAACAACAAAAAGTCTTCCCAATCCTTGGCATTAGGATAAAAACTTAGTACCTTAATCACGTTTGTAAATAGTCTGTTGACACTTTTCAAAACTTGCTGAAGCAAACGTGGCCTTTGCACCATTTAACTTACAAAGATTTCAAACATTTATTGTTATATAATTAACATATCTTGTATTTAAAGTGAATATGAACTTTGCCCCACTGTATTTTCTGGCTTAATTTCCTTGGTCTACAGAAATAAATGCACTTGATTTTTTAAAATCAGGTTAGTTACGGAACTCATAACTTACATGAATAGTATCAGTTTTTGACAGATTCCTTTAGTTTTCAATTATAGGAGATAAGGACCAAAAAAAAAAAAAAAAAAAGGAAAGAAAAACACTTAGTGTTCACAGCCTCTTACGCAGCCTACTGGCCCACTAGCTCTCAGGATATTGTTGTCTTGCCTGTTCTCCTGAGACTCTACTGCTTATAAAGACCATAAGTAAAAATCAGAATTGAAAAAAGAAAAGTTACTTTGCTCTTCATAATTAAAATTTGACACAGAGTAGCTTTAGGTAGGAAGTACAGAAAGCAACATATAATTAAAGAGACAGAAAGAAAAGAGTTCAAAGAAACAGTTTCTGCAGGAGTTTACCTTGATAAATCAGATTGTGAAGCAACCCCATGATGAAGACTTTTAGGTCATTTATGCTTCCTGTGATACATTTTGGAAAGACTTCCAGACAATTTAAATTCCTAAATTTTTATTTTGCACAAATGATATAATAATATACCATTCTTTCTTTTTCTCTTTTGCACTTAAGTCTGTATTTTTTCACTGTAGCATTGCATTATTAGTCAAGTATATCTTATTTAATTGATTTAGTATTAATGTATATCTGTTTTGTTACTAATCTTTGATATTGCAAAGAGTAAGTAAATTATATATATATAATTTTCATTTGTGTTCTTATATTTATAGAAAAATGCCTAGAAGTATCATTGCTAGGTCAGGGGATTCATTGATTTCAATTTGTTTTTAAGGTTTATTTATTTTTGAGAGACAGAGCAGAAGCAGGGGAGGGACAAAGGGAGTGGGGGACAGAGAATCGAAAGCAGGCTCCACACTGAGAGCAGTGAGCCCAACGTGTGCTTGAACACACGAACCTCAAGATCATGACCTTAACCAAAGTCGGACTGGATGCTCAACCGACTGAGCCACCCAGATGCCCCTCATTTCAATGTTGGTAGAAAATGCCAAAATGTTCTGTCTAGGAATAATTTATATGACTACCAATGATATATAAGAATGTCCATGACCCTCCACCAATTTCATCAATAGAAAATACTTTCCATTGGAGGATTATGTCGATACAATGGTTAATAAGTGTTATTTTCCCATAAAGGCTGAATTTTCCTTTCTTTTATTATAATCAAGGATTAGTATAAAATTATATCAGAGATTCATCTCTTTTCTTTCTTGTGAAATGTCTGTTCGTATCTTCTAACTACTTTTTAATGAGGCTGTTAGTATTCTTATAATTTTGAGTACTCCTTAAAATTTATCCTAAAGAATTAAGAAACTATTTTCTGCAAGAAAATTAATAGCCCTTAGGAATATAGATGAAAAACTTCTCATGAAAATGCTAGCAAAACAAATTCAACTGAATTTTTAAAAGGTTATTATATAGTATGACCCTGACATTTATCGCAGTAATGCAATGCTGGTTCAACATAAGAAAATCAATCAATGTAACATACCACACGAATAAAATTAAGAGAAAAAAAAACCCACATGTTCATTTCAATTGACAGAGAAAAGGCAAAGGTACCTGTCTACACCAATACTATTCAACATTGTCTGGAATGCTTCTAGCCAAAGCAGATAGGCAAGACAAAGAAAGAGAAGTCATCCAAACTGGAAAAGATGTAAAACAATCTCTATTCAAAGATGAAATGAATATATATCTTATCTATATATATGCCTAAAGAACACACACAAACATTATCAAAGCTAATAGAAAAATTCAGAAAATTTGCAGGGTACAAGATTGACACACAAAAACAGTTGTGCTTCTATATACCATAAACTAACATTTAAAAGAAAATGAATAAAATGAATCCATTTATAATAACATCCAAAAAATAAATTGCCTGGGGATAAATTTAATCAGAGAAGTAAAAGACACTCAAAACTACAAAACATTTTTGGAAGAAATTAAACTCTAAATAAATGGAAATATATGAGGGCAATACTCCCAAGGCAATCTATATATTTAATGCAAACTCTACTTCTTTTTTTTTTTTTTGCAGAAATGGAAAAAGCCAATCCCCCAATTCATATGGACATTGAAGAAAGACTCAAATAGCCAAAACAACATTGCAAAAAAAGAACACACTTGGAAAACTCACACTGCTCCCTTTCAAACTTACTGCAAATCTACAGTAATCAAAACATTGTAGGAACAGCATAAGAACAGACATATAGACTAATGTAATAGAACTGAGAGTCCAGAAATTAACCCATTCATCTTTAGCCACATGCTTTGACAAGAATTCCAAGATTATTAAATGGAAAAAGAATAGTCATCATTCAACAAATGAGGTGGGGAAAACTGGATATCTAGAGGCAAACAAATGAAGCTGGATGCCTACCGTGTACCATACACAAAATTTAACTCAAAGTCGATCAATTATCTAAAAATAAGAACTAAAATCAAAATTTACCTGATAAGAGTCTGTCTAGGATCCAAACTATATGAAGAATTCTTACATCTCAATAAGAAAATGACAGCCTGATTCTTAAATGGCCAAAATAGACAATAGAATGATCAAAAGGGATTTGCATAGACATTTCTTCAAAAAACTAAAATACACAAAGGACCAAAAGTATATGAAAAGGTGTTCAATATTATTAGTCATTATGAAAATGGAAATCAAAACCACAATGAGTTACCACTCATACTAGGATATCTAGAAGCAAATAAATGGAAAATTACAAGTGTTGGCAAGGATGTAGATAAATTAGAAACCTCATAACTGCTGGTGGGAATGTAAAATGGTTCCATTATGGTGGAAAACAGTTTGGCAATTCCTCAAAAAACTTAAAAACAGATTACTATATGACCCAACAATTGCATCCCTAGGTATATATGCCAAAAATTAAAAATAGGCATTTAAACAGATATATGTGCACACATGTTCATAGCAGCACTATTCACAACAACTATAAGGTGGAAGCAACTCAAACATGTATCAATAAATTAGTAGATAAACAAATTATAGTATATACAAACAATGGTATAATACTCACTCATAAGAAGGAATGAAACACTAATGCATGCTACAATGTGGATGAACCTCAAAAACATTATATAAGAGAAAGAAGTAAGACACAAAATCCAGACATACACAGTCAGAATTCTATGACCCCACTCATATGAAATATTCACAATAAGTAAACCCATAGAAACAGGTCACAGATTGGTAGTTGCCAGAGAAGGGGAGCAGGGTGGATGGGGAGTAATTTAATGAGTGTAGAATCATTTTGGGGTGATGAAAATGTTTTGAAACTAAATAGAGGTGGTAGTTGCACATGTTTATGAATGCACTGAATTGTTCACTTTAAAACCATTATATATTTTGGGCACCTGGATGGCTCAGTCTGTTAAGTGTCCAATTTTGGCTTAGGTCATGATCTCATGGTTTGTGATTACCAGCCCCACATCAGGCTCTGCACTGACAGCTCAGAGCCTGGAGCCTGCTTCAGATTCTGCGTCTCCCTCTCTCTCCATTCCTCCCCTGCTTGCACTCTGTCTCTCTCTCTTTCTCTCAAAAATAAATAAAGATTTAAAAAATTTTAAACAGTTATATATTTTATGTATATTTTGCCTCAATAACAAAAGACTCATGCTCAAAGTTCCTTTTTATAGCTGGAGTAAACAAAAACTTTTTTCCTTGCTTAAGCTGTCCCTATAAAGTGTTATTTTCCTCATAAGATCTATCCCTCTGCATTTATGGAATTTTGATATAATTTCATTTATAAGAGTTCATTCTATTAGTCTGAGACTAGCAATAATCTTGGTTTAAAAAAAAGAAAAAAGAAGAAGTAGAAGAAGAAAGAGAAAACTTCACATATGCAAGTGCTAAGACTTCTTTTTTATCTTGCTCTGTTCCTCTATTAGATAATAATAAATTGGCTGAAAAAGAAAGAAAAGTTATAAGAAAGGAAACTAATTGCTTTTGAGCTTGCTGTCACTTTGGCCGGTCTTTCTAATGATATTTGTTTCCCTTTCCAATAAAGGCCTTAGTTCAATTTGCTGAAAGGAAGAAAAGCTATAAATCTTTGCCTTTATTCAAAGATATTGATTGATTGATTTTTATGTTTTTATTTATTTCTGAGAGAGAGAGAGAGAGAGAGAGGAAGACAAAGAATCTGAAACAGGCTCCAGGCCCTGAGCTGGCTGTCAGCACAGAGCCCAACATGGGGCTCGAACCCACGAACCATGAGATCATGACCTGAGGTGAAGTCAGACGCTTAACCAACTGAGCCACCCAGGTGCACCATATTCAAAGATCTTTAAATAAACATTTTTCAATAATAATTTTAAAATGATAAAAACAACTAAGACAATAAATGGTTTGTTTTTCTTTGCCTATTTGGGAGAGTGAAATGCATAAAAAGACACACCAAACTGTAAGAGCATGCACCTTTTGTTTCATAATGAACAAATCTCAATGACCAGCAAGAATAATCAACTTTAAACCTGCTAGTTAACAGTTGTAATTATTTTATTTTGATTTCTTTTTATTTGTGGCAGATCCAGCAATCTCTCAAAGAACAAGGATAAAGAGTAGTTTGCCCTTCACAGTTTTACTATTCTTATCACTGAGGGATGTCCCATGCACTTGACCTGCATTAATTCAACTTCGCAACACTGATTTTGATGTGCTTTCAATGATAACGGTTTTCTCAGCAGAGGAATTCTTGGCATATTTATGAATTATCCTGATTAATTGCAAAAACTGGAAGCTGGCTTACCTAAGAGATTCTGTCCTGCTAACAGACCAGATTTGGCAGAGTAATATGATGGCATCCAGACAACTAGATTTTCAAAACCTGAGTGCTATCCCTGTGGGCTCTCCCAGCAACCTTTCCTCCCCGCATTTTTTAAAAATTTTTTTAATCTTTATTTATTTTTGAGAGAGAGAGAAAGAGTGGAAGTGGGAGAAGAACAGAGAGAGAGAGGGAGACACAGAATCTGAAACAGGCTCCAGGCTCTGGTCTCTCAGCAACCCAAATGCAACGAACCCCAAGGTCATGACTTGAGCCAAAGTTGGTAGCCCAATTGACTGAGCCACCCAGGAACCCCTGCCCCATTTATTAATGTTGCCATCTCGAGTTTAAAATATCAGGTGTTGCAAATATTTCACTCAAACCTCCAGAGTCCCATCTCTGTTTCTTACCTCCCTAAAACCCTCTGGCCTCTACGTTTACCAATTCTCATTCTAACCTACACTCAGTAGGAAGATCTGTGATCTTTGAACCTGAATTCCCGCTGCAACATATGCTTCTAATTTTTATATCTCAGTCTTTCTTCAGCACCTCTAAAGTGTTCACCCTAAGAAATCTCCTTACAAATGCATTACCTTGGATCTTATCCTATCTTTCTAACTGGTCCTTATTTAATAAGGTTTTTATCACAAAATTAAACTTCTAGATGACTCTATGTCTCTCCCCCGTGCTCTCTCTCTCGTCTCTCTCTCAGAAAGAAAGAAAGAAAGAAAGAAAGAAAGAAAGAAAGAAAGAAAGAAAGAAAAGGTGAAATAAAAGTGAAATATAGAAAAACTGTATTTCTTTGAAATTCATCAAAGTAAAAAGCAAATCCTACCTAAAATATTCTCTTTTCTGTACCTCATTCTTTTATGTTATGAAGTCTTCTAATGGCCTTTTAAAGAAGTTGTTTGCTTTATTTATTTGGCCTCAAATTATCCAAACCGAAATTTCCTTAGTCAGGATGAGCAGATTTTCTCAGATACTCTCTCTTACCACTTGGACAGTTTTAGAGAACTCATTTAAAAATGAGAAGTAGAGGGGTGCCTGGGTGGCTCAGTGGGTTAAGCGTCCGATTTCGGCTCAGATTATGATCTCACAGTTCGTGGGTTCGAGCCCCGCGTCGGGCTCTGTGCTGACAGCTCAGAACCTGGAACCGGCTTCAGATTCTGTGTCTCCCTCTCTCTCTGACCTTTTCCTGCTCATGCTGTCTCTGTCCCTCTCTCAGAAATAAATAAAACATTTAAAACAAATTTTTAAATGAGAAGTAGGAGGGCACCCACGTGGCTCAGTTGGTTAAGTGACCGATTTCAGCTCAGGTCTTATCTCACGGTCCGTGAGTTCGAGACTGGCATCTGACCGGCATTGGTTTCACTACTGTCAGCGCAGAGTCCTCTTAAAAATGAGAAGTAGAAAAATTGTTTCACCAATAAAAAGAATAAAAAGGCCAGAGGCTAGAACCAGAACTAGGGAGGAAATGGGTTGGGAAAACTGAGCTGCTCAACTTTGTCTCTGTTGTGAGGTTAAGCACCTGCTGTAGAAAGGGCCCTGCTGCTTCATTCCATCTTTGAGAACTAATAATCCAAGCTCCCTATGTTGGAGACTCTTCTTGTAGGGCCACCACTTGATCGAGGAACACACGTTCTGCCTAATTTAGCTTAATAATTTCCTTCTCATGTCAAAGATAACTTTGTGAGCTTGTAGAAAGAAAGAAAAATATTCTGGAGATGCCACGATGGATATTGTAGGTTGCTGCTTATTATCGACTTGTGTCCCAAGGTTCCTTGGGATTTCACGGTTCTACATCAATTAAAAGAGATTCACAAGATTGGCCTGTCCATCTTCTAGCTCCCCACTCTAGGTTTTATCCCAGCAATATATGTGTCATGTCTGAAACTCTACATTTATGCTTCCCCAACATTGTTGACAGGGTTAAAAATTGGAACAGTATAGTGGACAGCTGGCAATATTTGCTATACTTTAAAATGGAATTTGTCTTGCTTCATTGATTACACTTCTAAATATATTTACATATCTCCTACATAGATATGGATGCATTTTTTTTCTCATCCTAATATTGCTTGTATGGGCAAAATCTCAGAATAGCTAAGTGTTTATCAGTGGGATATAGACTGCTTGATTAGAATGTATCCATAGAAAAGTAAAGAATACTAAGCAGTTGTTAAAGGTCAGAATGTGAAAGACAAGAAAATATAACTCTTATTTATAGTTAAGCATTTTTAAGAGATTCAAAAATCAGATTCTGAAAAAAATGATATGTATAAATACACAAGACATAGTACTATACTGATAAAGACATTGAAAACTTCTGAAAGGCAAACTCAAAAATGGCCACAAATGGGGAATGAGACATGGATGGGAAACTGCAGGAGCATTTGCTCTTAAAATCCTAGAGTTCTGGGGTGCCTGGGTGGCTCAGTAGATTAAGCGTCAGACCTCTACTCAGGTCATGATCTTGCAGTCCATGACTTTGAGCCCCACATCGAGCTCAGGGCTGACAGCTCAGAGCCTGGAACCTGCTTCTGATTCCGTGTCTCTCTTTCTCTGCCCCTCCCCCACCCATGCTGTCTTTCAAAAATAAACATTAAAATTTTTAAAAATCATATTGTTCTGTTTTCTATGATTTTCCTTTGCCTTTATAAACTTCTCAAAAAAAGAAGAATATCGGGGCACCTGGGTGGCTCAGTCAGTTAAGCGTCCAACTTCGGCTCGGGTCATGATCTCACCATTCGTGGGTTCCAGCCCCTCGTCGGGCTCTGTGCTGACAGCTCAGAGCTCGGAGCCCGCTTCAGATTCTGTGTCTCCCTCTTTCTGATCCTCCCCTGCTCACACTGTCTCCTTCTTTCTTAGAAATAAATAAAAACATTAAAAAAAAGAAGAAGAATATCTAGAGGATAGTGTTCATTGTTCCAACTAGACTACTGTCCTTACAAGTTCCTATTGTCAGTTATTGCCCTGCTCAGCACCATGAATTCACCTCGTGTTTTCCCCTTCCTTAGATGTCCTTCCTCTGCCCAAATTCTAGCCAAACCTTTTTACATAATTCAGCTCACATCTCACATCTCCTCTGCACTTTTCTCTAATGAGTAACTGCCCTCCGCGAACTATTTAAACACCCCATTCAGAACACGTAACATAGACCTTATCCTAATAATATGATATATTTTGCTCACTATCACATCTTAGTTTGCCACAGGATAGTAATTTCCCTTAGAAGGATGCCTGGATCAGCAATTGCAGTTGCTTCGCATCCTGTGCAGAGTGGGTGCCCAGTAAATGCTTATGAATTCATACTTTAGGAAGTAAAATTGCTTTGATGTCTCAAGTACTTCTGTATTTATAAGGTCTGCTTTGCTGCCAGCATTTTTCCTCAGAAAAAAGGATGATCACTCATCTCTTTCTAACATTATTTTCTCTGTTCAAAAATAGAGGCTAAACTAATAATTGGCTTCACAAATTTAAGTCAATTTAATAATAATGTCCCTAATATACTAATTCTTCTTTCTTCTAGACATTTCCCCCATCTTTACACATTAAATGTACTATTAATAGGACTCATAGTATGTCTTTTCATGCTTTAAATGGTTTTTACACCGGTCTGAGCATTGAAGTTGTTTCTTCTAGCAACATAAAAGCTTTTCTCCTTTTGTTACTGGTCATCTCATCTTTTTCCTTAAAGCCAGCGTGATGGCCTCCTATAGCACTGCTGTGTTTATTCCCACAGTCATACAAGAACAGTCAACAGGATAAAAGAAAACACATCATAAGAAATTTTGTTTTAAGTTTAAAGAGCATGTCTGGGCACTCACAAAAGAAACACCCTTCCCGATGGAAAAACGCACTTATTATCTTCTTTCTAAGGCCTTGCCTCTAATGTAACTTAGAGTTTGCGCCACAGCAGTTATGTCTGTTACCATTCTGAGTCATTGCACTGTCACAAATCCTAACATACAACCAGGCTTATGGAAATCTAAGGAGCCTATTCATTTGGGCCTAATATTCTCCTATTTTCCTGTGTGTATTCGGTTTCCATTGAAGGTAATTAGAGTCAACGGAAGTACACACATACACACATTCAAAGTAGAAAGACTTAAAGACTGGGCCTCTGTCCGTGGTAATGGAGCTACGAACAATTATTGATGCATGATATTTACCAATCCATCGTAACTGTTTTGCATAATTATTCCTTTGGGTTAGCACACCGAAAATATATAGACAGGTTTCATGAGATTTATCAATTAATAGAGTCAAAAAAATTAAAAATATTACCAACTAATACTATTCCCTCATTGAAATATATTAAATATATAATCTCAGAGTAAAATATAAATGCTTATGTTGAATAAATTTAACTTGAGGAAAAACTATTTCATATTTTCACATTATACCACAGACTGGTGAGCTCTTCAACAGTGGTTAGCAGACCAAGATTTAAAAGCCTCTGATCTGGATCAACTCTCATCAATAAGGAAATAAACCCAGCACTTATGAAGAATTTGCTCCCATAAGGTCAAGGGATGCGTTAATGGACTGTTAAAGAATTAAACTCAGATTTCCTTTGTCAGAGCCAACGGCACTAGCATGCATGATGATGCCTTTTTAACGTTAAGGCTCAATTTATCTTTTTCATTAACAAAAGTACTTTTGTAATGGCTAAGTGATTTTGATGGTTAAATGAATTTCCAGAGGTTGATTTTATTTCCAGAAAACCTGTGATTAAGGCTAATGTCGCAACAAAAGATTTTGCCTTGTCAGCAGTAACAATCCTGTTGGCTTTTGGGATGATGAAGGTCAATTACCCTCTCTATACCTTGCGTAGCTAAGAACAACAAGTATTTATAAATGTCTGGAAAGAACTTCTTTTGTCATCTATCTAGATGTCACTTTGGAAAATTCTTATCATCTGAAATCGAAAGAACGGGCCATGCATCCTGTGGCTGTATAATTTGTTATCACAATTCACGATACCTTGAGAGTGAAAGAAAGTGCTATTAATAATATCCCAGAACAACAAGGGCAAACCAGAATGATTCCATATAAACTGGTACCTATCATCACCTTAATAACATTCTCCATGGAGTTTTCAAATTAAAATCCACATTTGAGAAAATAAATGATACTAGATGTTACTGTGTCATGGGTTTGGTAAAAAAGTGAGTTTATCAATAAAACATTTGACAATGTGTATGGCAATGGTTACTGTGGTTCTTACGGTGTTCAAAAATAAAACATAAGAAAACATTTTTTACATTTTTTACTGTTTATTTATTTATTTTTAGAGAGAGGGAGGGAGATAACAGCAATGGAGGGAGAGAGAGAAACCCAAACAGGCTCTGCGCTGTCAGCACAGGGCCCCATGTGGGCTTGACCTCACCAACCGTGAGATCATGACCTGAACCAAAACCAAGAGTCAGATGCTTAACTCACTGAGCCACCCAGGAGCCCCAGAAATAATCTTTTAAAATTATTTTATTTACCGTATTGAGGTTGTTGGCTCACATACTTGTTTCATAAATTGAAAGATAAAGACTTTAGGGGAGCCTGGGTGGCTCAGTCAGTTAAGTGTCTGACTTCAGCTCAGGTCATGATCTCATGATTCATGGGTTTGAGCCCTGCGTCGTGCTCTGTGCTAACGGCTAGCTCAGAGCCTGGAGCCTGACTCAGATTCTGTGTCTCCCTCTCTCTCTGACCCTCCCCTGCTCACACTGTCTCTCTCTCTCTCTAAGAAACAAATAAAACATTAAAAAAAATTTTTAAATGATAAAGGCTTTAGTTTTCACAAACATTGTTTATTCAAAATTTTGTACATTAATCTATCTGATGTGTTCATATATATGTTAAAACCCTAGGCAATATATTATTTTCTACAATGATATGTGAAGTGATATAATAATAAAGTCCTCACATGACTCAGTGTCTTTTCCAAGGCATGTGGAAGAATAGGTGAGAAGAAAAAGAGATGAAAGATGATGTTAACATAAAAACTTACATTACCATCCTTGAAGACATTTTTAAA